AAACATGGGGGAACAGGTGAAACTGGTCATGCAGCGAACACAGTTGCGCTACCTTTAACAACAGAAAAACTAAAAACCACACAAGGCCACCTGTTGAAGTGTGATGTAGTGCCTGTTACTGTGAAGCTGGGTGTAGCAATTCAAGCAAAGCAAGACTAGGATTAAAATGCAGAACAGAGACAATACATAGATGTGTTAATTTATGACCTATACTGATACTGTGGAATTAGTTGTATAAAGCTGTGGTAGATTAAATAAAAGTGTTGTTTTTTTTTCTTCTCAGCCCTGTTTTTTACCCACTCAGTTTTCACAGCTGTCACTCTGTTGAGTTTTAGCCAAGATCACTTTGTTTGTAGGTGAATTTTAATAACGCTTTTGGAGAGGAAACGGTTTCTGAGGCCTGCCTGTGTGTTTGTATCCAGCCTGCACGTGTCACTTCAAACGTTGGGTCTGATTACAGAACGCTCTCACATCGGTCGCATTGTCCTCTTCCTCTGTTCAGCTTCCGTCCAGTCGCTTCCGCTTCGTGTCGTGGCATCGCCTGGAGCAGTGCGACGTCACCGGTGACCAGCTGACCTGCCCCCGGGTTAGAGAAGGTGGGACTGACAAGAAAACCACCAGCATCACCATTGGGTTTTCTCTTTCAAAGCTTTACAGCTGCTGTTGAAGTTTTATTATTATTCTTATTATTATTCTTATTATTATTCTTATTCTTATTATTATTATTATTATTATTATTATTATTATTATTATTATTATTATTTTATGACAATCTACTGAATAAAACAGGGTTGTCTACCTGGCGCCATTAGGTTGGATCTGTTTTTAACGAACAAGAAAATGATCTTGTATATTTCAGTTTCTACAGTGTTTAGGAGGTTGTGCAGCACATTGAACAGGGGTCACATTTGTGTGGCGACAAACAGAATAAGGTGTGAACTTACACAGGTGAAGTATGGGTAACACGAGTGCAATTAGTTGAAAAGGTCGAGGAACCAGTAGAAATAAGGTCTGCCTCTAGTTAAAGACAGTGCATAAAAATATGAATGTGTGTTTGATTTTGCCTAGTGTAAGTAAGTAAGTAAGTAAATAAGTAAGTAAGTAAGTAAGTAAAGTCTTATTTATATA